TGGCAGGCCAGCCGGCCCCCCGTGTGGGGGGGGGGGCGGGGGGGCGCGGGTCGGCCGCGGCGACAAATGCCTCCGGGGGGGCCGTGCCGGGCAGTTGCCGTGCGCGCAGGGGCCGCCTCGTCCACGGCGTCCTCCGCCCACTGCTCCTGCTCCTCCTCCTCCACCTCGTACTCCCCCTCCTCCGCCTCCTCGTCCTGTTCCTCCTCCGCCTCCTCCACCTCCTCCTCCTCCTGCCACACGAGGAGCAAGAAACCATACGAACGCCTCCTCCCCCTCCAGCTTCCCCTCCTCCGCAGCCCCGTCGCTGAACTTCTCCCGGTGACGCCGAAGATGCCTCTGGCCCGATGTGCTCCCGAGGTCGCCCCGTGCCCACGAGGCGCCCCCCCGGCGTGCCACCCGAGCGACGGAAGTCGAGGAGCCTTACGGGCAGCAGCACGGCGACCTCACGCGGCGGCTGGCGCGGGCTGCCATCGCGCCGCGCCGCGCGGAAGACAGGGGCGCCCGCGCGCGGCTCCACGCGAACATCAGGAGGAAAAGAAACACACAGACACAAGTAATCCTCGATTTCCAAGAAAATATGGGAAAATATGGGCAGTGGGGGGGAAGACAAAAACCCAGAAAAGTGGGAAAATATGGGGGATAGTTTTATTTGTGTGTATTCATTTGTGTGTCCCAGGGCCCCTTCAGAACACCGCAGGCACTGGTGCGAGGCTCCTGGCAGCGCAGGAGCGGGGCCTCTCAAACACACGAGACAGACGACGGCCTCGTGTACGGAAGGGCTCTCCGCGAAACCTGCGCGACCCACGCAGCCACACGAAGCAAGCGCCAACGCAAGAAGACGAAGGCCCACGGCCCACATCTGCACGCGGCACACGTGCGCGGCGCGCAGGGGCTCACCTCGGGCCGAAACGCGCACGCTCTGGGTATCGAGCACAGCTGCAGGCACAGAGGCCAAGGGAAGCAAGAACGATAGAACGAGCGCGTGAACACGCCAGGTGCGGCACCGTGCCCCATGGCACGCAGCAAAATGGTACAGCGCCGCCGAGCTGGTTTTCGCACCTGCCCGCGAGCATGCTCCCTCCGACTTCCTGTGCGCCCGACAAGTCCCACGTGTAGTGTCCAGACCATCCGAGACCCCAAAGACGGCCCAACCCAGGCTGCCAAGACCGCGAAGACAACCCAAGTTTGCCTGAAGACGGTCCCACCAGACCACAAAACATCCTCGCTACATTCCCGTTCAGTCGAAGCTGTAAACCAGACTGCGAAGTAATGTATTTCGTGCTGGTGTACCCCATACATGGATGGGCGAGATCCTGACTGCCTTCTCCCCATCATCATGATCATCATCAGCGTCATGAACAACAACCTTTGCAGCATGCGCATCATCATCATCATCATCATCATCATCATCATCATCATCATCATCATCAGCATCATCATCATCATCATCATCATCATCAGCATCAGCATCAGCATCATCATCATCATCATCATCATCAGCATCATCATCATCATCATCATCATCATCATCATCATCATCGTCATCATCATCATCATCATCATCATCATCATCATCATCATCATCATTATCATCAGCATCAGCATCATCATCATCAACATCATCATCATCATCATCATCATCATCATCATCATCAGTAGCAGCAGTATCAGCATCACCATCACCATCAGCATCACCACCACCATCATCCTCTTCCTCCTCTTTCAATCAGAATACTCATGTCAGCATCCTCAGCAACACCATTACCAGCATCATCAGCATCATCAGCATCATCATCACCACCACCAACAACAAGATTGATATCAATAGCAGCAACCATAACAACACAGCAATAACAACACAACACGAACAACCACAAACACACACAAACAACAACCACAACAACAACCACAACGACAACAACCACAACAGCAACATCAACACCGACACCACCGACAACAACACAATCATCATAAACCACAACAGCGGCAACAGCATAAACCACAACAACACGACAACAAAAAAAACATCAACAACAACAGCAGCACCAGCAACATAAACAACAACAACAACAACAACAACGATCACAACAACAACCACAACACCAACAACAACGACAACAACAACACACACCACGACCACAACCTCAACATCAGTAACACCAACAACAACAACAACTGCGACAACAACCGAAGCACGACTAACAACCACAACAACAACAACAACAACAACAACAACAGCCGCAGCAAACACACCATTCACACCAACAACATCAGCAGCAGCAACAACAACAACAATAGCAACAACAACAACAATAACCATGTTAAGACTGTTCGCTCCTTCCTGCTCACGTGCCAATGAATACGTAAATCCCAAACCTTAGGTACCCGCCCTCGTCGTCTTCGATCGTACCCCTTTGGGGGTACATCTTCCTTTTCAGTCACTTGCATTTACTGCAGCCACTAAACCAAGGGAAGAAAGGATGGGCGGGAGGGGGAGGGAGAAGAATGGAGCACGAGAGAAATCAGCAGAAGAGGGGGCAAGGAGCAGAAAACAAGTGGTAAAACCAGACGGGCAGACCGGGTGGGCAAACCCATAGCGGGCAGGTCGGGAACGCGGGCCCAGGCGACCAGGTCGAGCAGGCGAGTTGCTGAAGCGTGGGTCCTGCATGAATCGCGAGGAAGTCTCGAGCGATAGCGCGATTCCCAAGTAAATCGCGAGAAAAGCCAAAGCGCGAGCGTGATTCCTGAGGGCCGAGGGCGCATCGTCTGAGTAAATTGCGAAGAAGTCTCACGCGAGAGCGCGATGCGCACATGAATTGTGGAAAGTCCCGCGCGAGAGCGCGATTTGGAAATAAATTGTGAGGAAATATCAAGCCAGAGCCGCTGTTGTTATAAACCGGGGGCCAGGGGCCCAGTTTAAGCCCCGCGATTTACCCTGATAAAGAACAGGGTGTGAGCCCCGCGGGAAGCACTTCAATTGAAAAACAAAATGGTCACTGGAGGAGGGATCAACAAAAAATTATCCTGCAGACGTGAGAATTCAACAACAAGGACAACAACAATCATTTTAATTATGTTCGCCCTTATCTGCTCGAGTGCCACTCAACGTGTATTTCCCAAACCCTCGATACCCACCCTCTTCGTCTTCGATCGTACCCCTGTTGGGGAGTGTATTTTTCTTCCCTGTAGGCGGGGCCCCGGCAAGCGGCGGGGCGGCTGCGGACCGTCGGCCGCGGACCGTCGGCCTGGCCAGCGGCAGCGCCGATCGGCGGCAACCCGACCCCAAGAGGGACGGACAGGGGACCGACGACGACGACGACGACGACGACGACGACGACGACGACAGCGGCGACGACGACGACGAGCAAAAGCGAGAGCGACAGCGGGGCCACGAAGGGCAGGAAGGGGGCCAAGAAGTGCGACAGCGGGGCCACGAAGGGCATGCGTATGAGGCCACGAAGGGCGCGAGCGAGCGGGGGCCACGAAGGGAAGCTAATGCGGGGCAACAGAGGGCAACGACGGGGCCACTGAAGGTAACAACTGGGCCACGTAGGACAGCGAGGGGGCCACAAAAGGCGACAGAGGGGCCACGAATGGCATGCATACGGGACCACGACGGGCGCGAACGAGCGGGGGCCACGAGGGGCATACGTATAGTGGGCCGCAGAAGGCAAGGACGGGGCCACTGAAGGCTGCTGCAACGGGACCCCGAAATGCAGCGATGGGGCCACGAAGGGCAACAGCGGGGCCACGAGGGGCATGCATATGGGGCCACGACGGGCGCGAACGAGCGGGGGCCAGGAAGGGCATACATAGATGGGGGCCCGAAGGGCAACGAGGGGGCCACGAAGGGCTGCAAGCGGGGCCACGAAGGGCAGCGAGTGGGCCACGAAGGCCTGCAACGGGACCACGAAGGGCGGGGAGGGGGCCACGAAAGGTTGCAACGAGTCCACGAAGGGCAGCGAGGGGGCCACGAAGGGCTGCAAGCGGGCCACGAAAGGCAGCGAGGGGGCCACGAAGGACTGCGGGCCACAAAGGACTGTAACGAGGTCACTAAAGGCAGCGAGGGGGACACGAAGGGCTGCAACGGGTCCACGAAGGGCAGCGACGGGGCCACAAAGGGCTGCAACGGGGCTACGGAGGGCAGCGAGGGGCCCACGAAGAGCTGCAACGGGTCCACGAAGGGCAGCGAGGGGGCCACAAACGGTTGCAACGGGACCACGACGGGCAGCGAGATCCCAGTGCCCAAGTGAGCTGTGAAGGAATCCTAAGCGTGAGCGCAACTCCTGGTTGCCTGAGTGTCGGGAGCGCGGCGCTTGAGTACATCGCGCAAGAGCGCGACTCATGAGCAAAGCGCAAGCAAGTCTCCAGCGAGCGCGCTGCTCCAGAGCGCCGAGAGAGCGACTCCTGAAAACATTGTAAGGAAGTCCCAAGCGAGAGCGCGACTCCTGGGTAAAATGAAAGGAAGTCTCAGGCGGGAGCGGGAGTCCTAGCTAAAGTGTGAGGAAGTCTCAGGTGGGAGCCGTTGTTGTTGCAATCCAGGGGCCAACAGCGCAGCTTGAGCCCCGTGATTTCTCCAATGAAAAAAGCAGGTGCGAGCCCCGCGGGAAGCACTTCAATTGAAAAAACACAATCGTTACCAGAGGGGGGATCAACAAACGTGATTCCTGAGTGATGACAATTCAACAGCAACAACAACAACGACGACAACAACGACAACAACGACGACAACGACAACGACAACGACAACAACAACAACAACAACCATTTTAAGGCTGTACGCTCTTACTTGCCCGCGAGTCATTCAACACGTATACCCTACACCCTCGAAACCCGCCCTCTTCGTCTTCGATCACACCCCTTTCGGGAGAATAATTTCTCATTGCTGGGGCCGGCGGGCTTAGACGCACGGGCAAACCGGAACGGGCGGACAATCCTTCGGGGCCGTATATCTCTCTGCCCGCCATTGGAATTGGCGCGGGCCCTGCGAGAGGAGGAGGGGAAGAACGAGGGAGAGTGGGATGATCCGCGCGTCGCAGGAGGGCCGAGTCGAACCACGACCCCCCAGAGCGCCCGCGCGCGCGCACGCGCCGCGGGCCGTCGCCGCAGGGGCTCCCGAGGGCCCCCACCGACAGGGGTCCTGGCCCGCACGGCCAGGACCCCTGGCCACGGGGGCCCGCCCGAAGGCAAGGCCCCCGACCGTGAGGAAGCCGAACTTCCTGTAGGACGTGCCCATGCCGTCCTTCAACCGGCGTCCTTGCTGCCGAGCTCGTCCTCGACCCGCCAGACGACCGTAACCCAGTCGCTCGTGTTGTCGACGAACTCGCCGTCCAAGAACCTCACCACCCACTTGCCCCGAGAGGCCGATGTGACCTCCATGGGGCTGTCCAGGCCGCCCATCTCCAAGCGGGCCGCCGCCTCGAGCCTGCAGAGCGCAGACCTCACCGCGTCCGCGCTTAACTCCGCCGTGAGCGCCACGACGAACGGGACGATCGCCACGCGCACCTCGCCCACGAGGGCGTCCGCCGCGGCGCGTGCCAGCTCGTCAGCCTCGCGCGCGGCGAGGAGGATCGCGTCGTCGAGCAGGGCGTCGTCGCCCTTCGCGTCCCCCTTGGTCTCCTTGCCGCGCCTCGCGTGCCTCCCGGGCTGGGCCTCCGCGGCCGGCAGGGCCTGCGCGGCACGCCCAGCGTCGCGCGCCGCCCGCACCGCTGCGGCCGCGCGCCGCCCCAGCCAGCCGCGCACCCAGCGCTGCAGCACACCAGCTGCAACTGCCCGGCTCTCGGCCTCGCATCGCTCGGCCATCTCAGCGGCCCAGCGCGCAGCCGAGCGGTCGGCGACGGCCTGCGCTTCGTCCCAGCGCGCGCCTCGCCGACCTTTCACCTTGCCCGTCACAACCTTCCACTCCTTCTCCTCCGCGTCCTTCTGCACAAGCGGCACACCGGAGCGGCCTTCCACAGGCGCCGCCACGGTCGACACGGCCTCGGCCGATCGCACCGCCCCGACCTCTTCCGCAGGCGGCCCACGGCGCACCAGGGCGAGCAGCTGCTGCCCCCGCCGCGCACCCTCCGCCGCGGACAACCCCAGGACAGGCACCGGCACCTCCAGGGTCTGCACGGCCCACTGGTGCAGGATGATGCCCAGCACCGGAGGGGGCGCCCAGGTGGCCGCCCCGCAGCAGCCGCACCAGCGCCCTCCGCACGGCAACTCCGATCCACCGCCCATCACCGTGAGCACCAGCACCGAGCGCGGGCCCCGTCACCGCCAGCCCTCGTCACCAGCTCTTGCCCATGGGGGACTTGGCCGCCATGGCACCGGAGCGCGCCGCCGCCGCCGCGGCGCTAGTCCCCGCCCGAGCGGCCCACCTGGGCTCTCGGGCAGGAACTGAGGGAGAGTGGGAGGAAGGGGAGGGGGAAGGACGAAGGAAGAGGGAAGATACCACGTTGTGAAGGCGTCCTTGGCGCGCGCGTGGTTCCTGAGCGCCGAAACGCAATTCCATAATAATTTGTGAGGACGTCGCACGCGAGAGCGCAGTCCTGAGTACATTGTGAAGAAATCTCGGGCGGGAGCGGGGGCCCTGACTAAGTTGCGAGGGAGTCTCGAGCAGGAGCGCCGTTCCTGAGCAAATTGCACGGAAGTCTCAGGCAGGAGCGGGGGTCCTCACTAAATTGCGAGGAAGTCTCCGGCGGGAGCGCCGTTCCTGAGTCAATTGCGCGGAAATGTCAGGCAGGAGCGGGGGTCCTAAGTAAAATCCGAAGAAGTCTCAGGCGGGAGCGCCGTTCCCACGTAAATTGCACGGAAGTCTCAGGCGGGAGCGGGGGTCTTGATTACATTGCGAGGAAGTCTCAAATGGGAGCGCCTTTCCTGAGTAAATTGCGCGGAAGTCTCAGGCGGGAGCGGGGGTCCTGAGTAAAAATCGAGGAAGTCTCAGGCGGGAGCCGTTGTTGTTGTAGCCCGGGGGGCAGGGGCACAGTTTGAGCAGGAAGACTTTCCTTGAGAAAAAACAAGGTGCGAACCCCGGGGGTGGCACTTCAATCGAAAAAAATCAATGTGCACCGGTGGGGGGGATCAACAATAATTATTCTTCAAGAATGAGAGTTCAACAACAACAACAACAACAACAACAACAACAACAACAACAATCATTTTACCCGAACGCGTGGTGTTCTCCCCAGTGCCAGGGTTTTCATACGACACCAGGCAATACCCCCACTTCGTGGGGGGGCATTACAAGCTCTACCAAATATCCAAACGACTCTTCGCGACCACCCAAACCCAGCTTCCCGCCCTATGACGTTGGGACACTTCACTTCGTGGCGTGCGGACGACCGTGGCTACTACACTGGCGTGGGGTACACACCCACAGAACCCAATGGTTTTTGGAGATTTCGGCGTGCGCGCGCGAAGAAAAAACGAATGTGTCCCGCATGGTATTATTTGACAGGGATGATGGCCCTGGCAGGTGCGCAACCGTTGTCGCAGAAGTTCGAAAAAGTTGCTCGCAAAAGCCCGTTTGACAGAAATGTTTAAAAAGTGTTGGGTTTCCTACGAATCCGCAAGAGCGCGCGGGATGAGATTTTGACATTTGTTTGTTGAAAAACCATTGGTTTTTTGATGTTTTTATGTTAAAATCGCTCCGAACACTAAGCTTTTGGAAGGATTTCGTCTTGCGCGCGCGAATGTCCACTTTACCTTATTTTTTGCAAGGGATTCTTGAAATTTGATTATATTAGAACAAGAAATGTCATTTTATAGTGTTTTTTGCAAGGGAAAACGGATTACAACAAAACAACCGGATCTGGATCACATCGTTTTACCTGAGGCTTCCTCACGAAAATGATGAAAATGTAGCTGCGGCCTAGGCGGGCAGGGGGGGCGCGCACCAGGGGGCCCAACAATAATTATTCTTTAGAATTAATAATGTTCAACAACAACAACAATCAGTTTAAGACTGTTCGCCCTTACCTGCTCGAGTGTCCAATGACGCGTATTCACCAAACCCTCGATACCCGTCCTCTTCGTCTTCGATCGAACCCCTTTTGGGGGGCATACTTTTCTTCCCCGCAGGCCGGGCCCCGGCAAGCGGCGGGGCGGCCGCGGACCCTCGACCCGACCCCAAGAGGGACGGACAGGGAACCGACCACGACGACGACGACGACGTCGACGACGATGGCGACGACGATGACGTAGCACCCCGCATACTCGCATTGAAAAATAAAGAACAGAAGAACTTGCAAGAGCTTCCCTGGTTGAGGACAGGTCGCTTTCAAAATGTAGTTCCAGCCGTAGCGCCGCGCACATTAGCTTTAACAAACTGAAGAAGTTCATGGATTGAGAGCGGTTCGTTTTCAAACTGTGGTTCCCGCCTTATCGCCGCGCACATGCGTTTCAAAGAGTTGAAACGAGTTTCGCTGACACTCATGGTTCACATTCGAGAAGCTGCATGCTGGGACGATTTGGGAATGTCAGGGCGCTACAATTATGTTGATTCACGGTGTGAAGTCCCAGGAATGGTGTTTTGGCAAGATTCGGGACTGTCAAGACGCAGCAGTGAGGTTGACCCGCAGCGTCGAAGTCCTGAGAATGGATCGGCACGCGTCAAGATTTTCACACGAATGTCCCCAACGTCGCATTTCGATCAGTGGAAATGAACCCTTGTAGCGGCATATGAAGAAGAAGAAGCTTGGAAGGAGGACGTGCTCCAACATCGTTGCTGATTCTTGGGTCCTCCTCCTCCTCCTCCTCCTTCTGCCCCTCCCCCTTCCCCTCCCCCTCCCCCTCCCCCTCCCCTTCCCCATTCCCCTCCTCCTCCTCCTCTCCTCCTCCTCCTCCTCCTCTTCCTCCTCCTCCTCCTCCTCCTCCTCCTCCTCTTCCTCCTCGTCCTCCTCATCCTCCTCTTCTTCTTCGTATGATTCGTCTGCTTCTTCTTAGTATGCTTATTCTTCATAGTATTATCCTTATTATGATTATTATCATTATTATTATTAGTATTATTAATATTATTATTATTATTATTATTATTATTATTATTATTATTACTATTATTATTACTATTATTATTAGTAGTAGTAGTATTACTATTAGTAGTATTATTAAGTATTATTATTAGTATTAGTATTATTATTATGATTATTATTATGATCATGATGATTATTAGTATTATTATTATTATTAGTATTATTACTACTACTATTATTACTAGTATTATTACTAGTAATAATATGTTTACTATTAGTATTCGTCTTCGTCTTCTTCTGAATCCTCTTATTATTAAAATTACCATTAATATTACTATTATTATAATGAGATTATTATTAGCATTATTAGTAGTAGTATTCCTCTGCTTCCTCCTCCTCCGCCGCCTCTTCCTCCTCCTCCTCCTCCTCCTCCGCCGTCTCCTCCTCCTCCTCCTCCTCCGCCTCCGCCTCCGCCTCCGCCTCCGCCTCCGCCTCCGCCTCCGCCTCCGCCTCCGCCTCCGCCTCCGCCTCCGCCTCCGCCTCCGCCTCCGCCTCCGCCTCCGCCTCCGCCTCCTCCTCCTCCTCCTCCTCCTCCTCCTCCTCCTCCTCCGCCTCCGCCTCCGCCTCCGCCTCCGCCTCCGCCTC